TATATATCTTACTGCATCTTCTTTTTCATCAAAGCCAAATATAATCCAATAGTTGCTATTGATAAATTCTGTTTTAAAGAGATTCATTTGTTTAGGTATTTTTAAAGCTCCTTTAAGATACATAATTCCCTCTTCTTTATTTTCTCCTAACAACATGACTTGGAGTACTTCTACCTTGATTGATTCCTATTATTTTATGAAGAATGGATTTACTATTGTCCCTTGAATCCTGTTTCTTATATTATAAGACATGCTATCTGTAATATAGCTTCCCTGCATTGTTTCTTTTTATACTTCTGTTTTTATTTGTTTTACCACTATACTATTCTCCATTATGACTTCCTTAATAGAGTGCACTTTTTTGAGTTCTGTAGAAGTTGATTGAACTTATATTAGGTGTGCTTTCCATTATATAAACTTCAACTTGATTAAAGCTTGGTGTCTATATTACTGGCTTGTTTGTCAACATATTATACACCTTTTTTTCTAGTATAGATATTTCCAAATCTTCCTTTTTACCTTGCCCCTTTTCCCAGAGAGTAAGGATATATTGTTACAACATATGTTCTTTTGCCAACACCAATGGATCTATCCTCAATATATTGGCAATAATATTATCTAGTATTGAGGAAACATATATTGACTTAGCAGGAATATGGAGTTGATTAGTTGCTATTGGTCTTAGCTTATATTATATCATTCTTGTTTCCTAGAATACTTGCTGAGGATCTTAATAAGAAACTATCTTTTCCAATACTTTCAATAGCTCTTTTTCTCTTCTCTCTAAAATTTTGATTATTGTTTGTTCTTTTGTTGATATGTTGTCACATGATATATAAAAAATTTAACATGTTGTTATTGTATAAGTGTCTTTTTAACTATATGATCAGATAAATATTATTATGTATTATTTTTCTGTTTGATGTATATAGCAATAAGTTGCTATATTGATATTAAGAAGTCTATGACACATGTTTTCTATGTATTTACACATCTGATATTTGTTTATTAACATGTAACTGACTGTGATCAACTGTTGATCTTGCTTTAGATAATATATTCTGGTTGATCACACACATTCTAGTTTGTTGATCTGTCATATCCTATTGTTTTGTTATAGATTGATCAGCTTGTTTGGATACACATTAACTAGGTGAAAAGTTAATGTATTTGTGTTTACATGATATGAATTAATTGATATAGAGTTATTATGTTGTTGTGATCTTTTAGCTATTTAACCAAAGAGACTTGAACATCCTCCTGAGTTTCAGTTAGCTTTGAGGTTGTACTGATTTATCAGTATAATCTATTGTTTCTAAGACTTCTCTTAATATCTAGAAAGATATTAACTTGCACTAACCTGGCTAAAAGCTTTGTGGAATTGAGATTGAGTCTCAAGAAGCCTACTGTAAATCAGCTTGTTTTTGCTTTTTCTCTTTCTTAAAAGCAAAAATGATTTAGGGATATCTGTCTTTCAAATAAGTGAAACTTTTTTTCTATTGTTGCAAAGTAGATTTTGTTACCTAGAAGTGTATAGTTGTGTCTTCTGAGACTTGCTCTTGTATAAAAAAGTTTTTGTAAGTTTTTCAAGAAAATTATCAAAAAAAAAATTTTTTTTTGAAAAATTATGGATCAGCAGAAAGAGTTTTTATAAATATTATAATAATTTATTCTAATTGAAATTTTTTTTTTTTTTTTTTTTAATATTAGCATAGCCATGTTTTATTTAAATATAGTAAATATTATATATATAATGTAGATAAGCTACTACTGTTTTTCAAGTAAAACTTTGATAAGAAAAAATTTACTTCATGATAGTGTCACTCTTTTTGGAATAAAGGAGCTAGTAAAGGGGTCTACTAATGTGAAAAAATTAAGAAAAAATTTATGTTGTTTGTGTTCAAATCAATATATTTCTCAGATTTAAATCTGATAGTAATAGTATCTATCCAACTACTATAATTATATCTTTCAGGCTATATTATAACTACAAATGAAAACTATACAAGATTAAATAGGTGAGAAGATTCTATATACAACTAAGGAGGCACTGGTAAGAAAGAGGAGTTAGTTTTAATATTAAGTGATTTGAAAGCTATGCTACTACTATCACTTTTGTACTATTAGCTGATTACTCTTTGAGAGCTTCATTAGTTCAAGTTATAATGTCTCTTCTTCAGCTACTTTCAATACAGTTATATTGTGGTTTCTTGTTTTTCAGCTCTGATCCTTTCTTTTGATTTTCATCTTATCCTATCTGTATAGAACCTCTGTCGATATTCTTCTAAGTGATAATAAGTCAGAGGTTGCGAGAGGAATTCTAGGACATAGAAAAAGTAGCTTGATAATACTATCAAGGTTTCTTCTTTTAGGCAGTATAAGCACTGGGGAAAGAGACCCATCATTCAATAACCTGTCCTTATTTGTCATTGCGACAGTTCTATCTTAGAAAAGAAAGTCTTAATACATTCAGCTTGCACTTTATTGGATTTGATAAATATTATGCTATTTTTTCCAGAGTACTATTATCTTGAAAGGTTAAGTCACAGTCTTTTTTTCTTCAGATTATATATTGATCTTGCCTTTTGGTTAATATGAACAAAAAATCTTTTAGTTTACTAATCTAATACTTTTAAAAGATAGGCATGATACTTCTTAGACATTATCCTCTTTTTATGAACCCTTGAGTCTTGTTATAGATATAGTTTCATTTGATAGATTCATATAATATGTTGTTGGGTCTTTTTCTTGATTGAGCATTAATGTAGAAGAGACTGTGTCCTATATTTACCTATATCATATTACTAATGTTTTACAATAAACTCCAGGTTCTTATGGAACTGAGAAAATGCATTTGAACACATGAGGTAACCAATAGGGGCTTGTTTATATTCTTTTACTGACATGTTTTTTGCTAACCATTCATTGCTTGAAAAACTTTGTACTATTCAAAATTCAGGGTTAAACTAAGGTAGACAAAATTCCTCAAAAAAAACTGAAAAAAAGTACTTTTAGAGAAAACACATGACAAGGGAGTGGGTAGTTACCTTCAAGATAAGTCTTTCATTATAGAAGAGGTTTTGTGTTGTTTCTCTAATATATTAATAAATACCAGTACTTCAGTTCTTCTTTCTTTCAAAACTTTTTTGCCATTGGTAAGAAAGGCGAATTCATGACTTTAGTCACTAAAAGTTAGGTTTTTGTTTGAAGAAAATGTTTACAAGAGGAAGAGAAAGATAGAGATAACTCTTGAAATATTATTTCAAATTAGTTTAAAGAAAATGATAAGACTCTATTAATCAAGAAATATAAAAATTTCTTGCGAACGTCTTTTTTGTATGTGATCAGAGAATTAATAAAAAGAGTTGGTTGGAATTAAATGTGATAACTAATTGAAAAATAATAACATGATTAATATAATATACAGTAAATAATTTGTTTTTATTAATTTTGTTTGGTTTTGAAAATTAAATAAAATATTGATAACATTATTTTCACAAGTATCTGTAATTTCATCAATTATGATTGAAATATATTGAAATTGAAAAATATGTTTCAATTTTTCTATCTCAATTTAAAAAACTTTAAGGTAAATAATATTTGTATAATTGATTTGCATCAACTATTTCTTCATCTATAAATTAAATTATTGAATATTAATAAAAAATATTATATATATTATTAAAATATAAATAATTTACAGTACTTGTTCTTTACATAATATTTTTTATTTTTTCAAGTGAAATATCTGCTTCTACGAATTACTTGACCAATGTTAAATTAATATCTTGTTTTTTGATATTTTTGATTGATTCTAAGATAATAAATCTTTTTCTTTTTTATGTGATAAAGAATTAAGATAATTAATTATCTATTGTAGTTTTCTTGGTATAATTAACATGTTTTCAAATAAAGCAAAGCATTTTACTATTTGATTCATAAAAATCACTTTCCTAATTTTTAGAATTTATACGTTCTTGAATCATAATTTTTGTTTTATCCGTATTATTCAAACTACTGTATTAATATTAATATTTGTGACAATTGCAATAATCATAATAATTGCAATATATAGTATATATTCTACCTTTATTATGCTTTTGTTACATATTATACAAGTTGCATATGTCATGTGAAATTCGTACATTTTATGTGCTCATTATGTGATCGCATAAGTCTGGACACTCTGAGAATCAATACTATATTATGAGAGATAAATTCTATTATTCCAAACTTTATACTGTATATACATATATAAGTAAAAAAAAAAAGTCTATTCTATAAAAGGAATTTCACATGACTAACTGAACCCAAATGACTACCTATGCAGTACATATTTTATTTCGAAGATTTTATTTGTAGTATTGACGTCGCGATAAATTAACAAGAACAAGAATTAAAGCTTTTAAATGCGGTAAATTTGAATTAAAGTTTCTCCAAGTGCCAGAGGCACTTGGAAATCATTAATATTATTAGTATTTACAAGTCTAGCTGTTTCTGTATCAACGAGTGATTTCTACATCATATATTTTCAAAAATCGTACTTTAATGATCTCCACATCACTTGAACAGGAACTTTCGGTGAGGTGGTAATTCACCTTTATTTAGCCACACCAACCCGCAGGCGTTACAAAGAGTCTTAAACGAGGTAGAGGTACAATTAATAAAATGAAATATGCATATGCAAGTGTGTGGAGAATTCCCAGAAATACAAACCTTGCCTCCATCAGGTCCTCTCCTAACCAAAGGTGTGGTATGTCCATCTATCCCGCAGTGTAAACATCTCCAGACGTTTAATTCATCAGGATTCAATTTCGAATCATTTCGCATCCTTTGATTTATAGACAAACTTAGATGATCGATTCCGTTTAACGTTGCAGGTCTTGCTGATTTGGTTCTTGTGACATTCCGTGTGGTCGCTCTTCGAATTCGTCTACATAATCACAGTCGCGTAAATTCTGCATGCATGAAACACACATGCAATACCTGACATCGCATATTTACCTTATATCCCTCTCTTGATCCAATCTAATCTTCTCCAACTCTTCACTAGTTAATATCTCTAGTACGGGACACCACTCTTCGGCATCCTCGAACGAACGAAAAACAGATTTCAAAGGCTCCCGCTCGTTATCCGAATCATCAGGTTTCATTTCCTTCTTATATTTTAATAATTGTTCGTGAATGCTATGCGCGATCACCGAAACGAACTCTCCGCCAATTCCAAGATCAGATACAAGAATCTTACTGAACTCTTCCGGGGTTAGATCAGAACTCAGATCCCATTCAAATCGATCACGAAGATTTAATTTTCCAACATGGATATCGAGCTAAAAAAGGTAGTCAAAGTAAGAATCGATTTCAATTTTCATGTTGTCCCGCAAATTGACTTACGTTGATCGTGATTCTCGAATCTTCTGGTGGAAAACTACTCTCCGTTATAGAATAATGTTCTTGGATTTGTTTTCTTATAGACTCTGCAATGGGTAGTATAAATTCTGTGGCTGGGATATCGAGGTCGTGACACAGTATTTCCGCAAAATGCTCGGGTGTAATTAACTTCTCTGATGCACGTATATATTTTGTTTATGTACATACTAAAAGTAACGAAATTCCAAGAGCCAGCAAATAAGGCATACCATTGAGGTTCCAAGTAAATGTATCACGTAATTTATGAGTGTCCAAATCGATATCAAGCCTTATCGGAATTAGGACCTCTTCATGTTCCGCATTGCGATCCAAGTCTTTCTGAGAACTGAGATTAAGAAACGCTTGCGCCTATTATATTTCAAGAGGAAAGAAAAAAAAAAAAAAGGGAAAAGAAAGAATGATTCCAACCAGAATTACCTGTAAATATGCCTAGTTTTAACCCTCGGTCGCTTTACGATAGGACTCTCTCCGTTTGCGGCGAAAAGTCCCGCCGTTATGCGTCTCTCCAATGGGGGAGTTCCCCTGTCCTCGTCTTCGAAAAAGTCACCAACGTCGTCCGAGTCATCACCGGTTATGATTTGACTCGCACCTCGATGACGTTTCTTCCCCCTATGAACCGGCAAAATGAGGGCAGTGTTTCCTTGCTTGAGGCGACTCGAGTATGTACTCCAGAAAGTACGTTTAGACCTGATAGGTTTCATGGGTCTAAGTTGTGTTACGACTTCTGACATTTTCAATGAAATCAGGAGTTTATAAAGCAAATAATTTAAGATCATGGAATTAGTTGACAATAGTAATACCCTGCCGCGTTATCCTTCGTGTCGCCGTAGAGTTGCTATAGTTAGAGTAGGTTCTTTTGGGTGCATAAGAGGCATTACTTTGAAAAGCAGAGTAGGACGCCGCGTAATTTGAAGGCGCGACCATTTGCGGGTGAAATGCTGTTTGTTGGTGGCCATAAGGGAGTTGTGAAGAATAGCCTACATTAGGATAAATATGAGACGGCGCTTGCTGCTGCTGCGAGTAAAGGTACGCTGGGCGATAGTTTGCGGATGTGGTCCTCGCATAGGAGTTCGTCGATGTGTTCATCTTTGCCCGACGCGGTTGATGATAAAAAAAGGTGTGAACGCTCAAAAAATTTTAAAAAGAACATTGGAATGTCACCTATGTTACACGACATACTCATGATAAAATCTCGTCCTATTACCGCCGC